TGCCAAGGGCGCAATAGTTTTTAGGTCTCCCCGCAAAGGCCATAGGTGGCGCCAGCCCGCGCCCCCCCCCCCCCGCCCTCTGCCTCGCGGACCCGCTTCTCTCGCCTGTGTTCCCCGCGCACTTTCGAGGCGTCTCCGGCCACGGGGCGGTCCTTACCGGGGGCTCAGGCCCTGACCCACCGCCCCAGCCCGGAGCTCCAGCGCTGGGAACCCAGGCCGAGAGGCCCCGCCCACCACGCCCCCTCCCCACGGGCCGCCCGCCCCCTCGGCCGCGAGGTGGCCTCACCTCACGCGGACCGCAGCGGGGACGGCGCCGCGTCTCCGCCCGCCGCCTGGGCCCACGGCCGCTCGGCTGCGGCTCGGCCCCGACGGCCGGCGGCGGCGCGCTTCTGGGGGCGGGCTCTTCTCGGTGGGGGTTTCCCGGGGCCCAGGGCTGGGGAGTAGGGGGACCGGGGCGGGGGAGGGGAAAGGGGCCTGGGAAGGAGAGGGGAAGAGGGGGAAAAGGGGGGGGAACCAAACCCGGAAAGGGAGAAAAGGGGGGAGGGGGAAAATCAGAAGGGAAAGAAAGGCCCACAGTCCGCCCCCCACTGCGGCCTTCGCACACGTCACCACGTTCAGCGTAGTCGTCACCGCGCCCTGCGTTCTGCGCTTCCCTGCTTCCTGTGTGCGCCTCCGGGCCCTTCTCGCACACATTGACCCCAGTGCGCGCGCGCAGAGGATGTCGTGCGGTCTCCGTTGCTATCTCTGTGTTCCCTGTGGCCAGTCGCCAACCCAACTCGCTTTCCTTAGCCTCGAGACTTCGAACCATCCTAGATTTAAACAGTGTAACTAAAGTAACTTCAATTTACAAAGCACTTTCAAAATAGGCTCTAAGAGAAACTCCTGCCCCTAAAAGAAGCGCATACTTGTATAGGTAGGTAGAGTTCGATAAAAACTGACCTGTGAGAAACTCAGTCCATCTTATTAAAATCACATTCTTGCCGTCACCTTTCTAAGATACAGTTATGAGCCAGGTGTAGTTTTACATATCTAATACCAGCATTCTAGGAAGCTGAGACAGGAGGATCACAAGTTGGAGCCCTTTCAGGGCCACTTAGCAACTTGGCAAGACCATGTCTCAAAAATTCATAGAAAGGGCGGGGGATTTAGCTCAGTGGTTCTGCCTCCTGCCGCGCAAGGTCCCGAGTTTGATCCCCGGTACCCCCCCCCAAAAGTCATAAAAATTTTAAAGGCTTGAGGGTGTAACTCAGTAGAAAGATCCAGGATCCAATCCTTGAAGAAGAAATAGTTCTTTTTCTTAACATTTTAAGTTTTTGCCCCCCCCATTCTGTTCATTCTAGGTAGAATTAATTTAATTATTATATGCATGTGGATACTTTATTAACTCCCTCAAAGAAACGATGTAGTCCTATGTAATTCCATCATTAAAAATTTACTGTGTGGGCCGGGGATTTAGCTCAGTGGTTCCGCCCCCTGCCTCAAAAGCACAAGGACCTGAGTTTGATCCCCAGTACAAAAAAAAAAAAAAAATTACTGTGTGACAAGAAATGTAGAAGACAAAAAAAAATCAAATAGTACAACATGTCCTTGTAGAGAAGTTTCAGCATAGTGTGGAAACAAAAGGAACATTATTAGTTCTTGGAGATAAGAGAGACTGAGTAAGCTACAGAGAAAATATAAGCAAACTTTGAGCTAACCTTAAAAAACGTAGATATGCCCAGGGATTTAGATCAGTGTCACCACACCTGCTGTGCAAGTGCAAGGACCTGAGTTCGATCCCTAGTACCTCCCCCAAAAAATTATTTTGAGACAAGTTCTGTCTAAGTCACTGAGTTGCCCAAACTGGCTCAGAATTGCGGTCCTCCTATGAGAAATGCATTCACTGGTCCAGACCCAAAGAATGGACTCAGAGGTGGCAAAAAGAGCAGCAAAAGTGAGGCTGTTATAAGTCTTGCAAGGCTGGGTGTCTGCTAAACTAGGGTGGTCACAGTGAGCAATTTAACCCCTAGCACACAAGTCCCTTCCCTCATTTCCTCACCGGGAGAGAATACTATGAGGTATTTCCCCAGACATCACCTATGTTTCATTACTTTTTTTTAAGATGGTTCCCCAGTCCTCCTCCCAATTCGAGTTTGGGTTTCTTCATAATATTATCTATTCTTTACTTTGAGACTTTTCAAGAAGCAGATGTTTCTGCATAGAGATTTCATGCGACCTTGCAATTACTATGTTTCTACTTAGTCTTAGCTAGAAAAATGTTTTTCCTCTCCCTTCTTAGCCTACATTCTACAAAGGCTCTCTTTCTTACTATTTTTATCTTTCCCTCAAGATCTCCACTGTCCAGAGACCCTCCAAATGAATGAACTTTGTCAGGCCATTTAGGCAATTCCAAATGCCAGTAATTTTTCAGAGTTAATTATTTCATCTTGAAAATGAACTAGTTTTTCTTTTTCTTACACTCCTGTCTTAACTTCCTAGAATGCCTAGAATGCTAAGATTAAGGTAGGGTACCACACACAGCCAGAGCCTGCTAACCACATCACTCTAAATATATATATTATAATATATAAATATATATCATATAAATATTATATAATTGAATATTAAATAACATTATATTATATATTTTAAATATATAAATATTATATTATATACTAAATATTATATATTGTATATATAGTGGCACACCTGTAATCCCAGCACTCAGGAGACAGAGGCAGGAGGATTGCAAATTCAAGGCCACTCTGGGAAATTTAGGGAGAACTTGTCTCAAAATAAAAATTAACAAAAATGACTGGGGATTTAGCTCAGTACTACTTGGGTTCGATTCCCAATATTAAAAAAAAATTTTTTCTTAAATCTAAGCTTTACAAAAAGTTGCAGCTATTGGGATTTTTTTATGGTTATGCTTATGGAATTTTTAAAAGTGAAACATTTATTGGTACATTTTAGATACACATAATGATAATATTTGTCATAGGGAATTTGTACCTGTACCTTATGGAATTTTTTAAAGACTATAAATAATCTCACTTCTATTTATGTCCAGTTTAGCCAAAGGAAAAGTTATAATCTATTTTCCCATTTCTCTGATGAAGAAACTAAAGCAAAAAGGTCAAATAACTTGCTCTGGGTCACACAATCAAAAGAGGAGATAAGGCTCAGTTGTAGCTCAGTGCTTAGTATGTGCAAGGTGTTTGATTCTGTCTCCAGCACCACAAGAGAAAAAGGGAAAAAGGTAGAGAGGAGTTTAGACAGTGCAGGCAAGTGTGATGGTGCACACCTGTAATTCCTGCACTCGAGAGGCTGAGGCAGGTGGATCACTGTGAGTTCAAGGTTGGCCTAGGCTACACAGTGAGACCCTGCCTCAAAAGAGAGAGAGAAAGAAGGAAAGAAAGAGAAAAGAAATGAAATTTAGGCTATTTGGCTTAAACACCTGTCCTCCTGCTTCCAACCTCTACCCTTGCCAGATAAATCCTTGCTGTGGAAACAGAATCCTTTTCCTGGAGACTTACTGCTTAGGACTTTTGGAGGAAAGAGCTAGGACTTATTTTTTTCTCCCATACTGGGAATTGAAACCTTGGTCTTATAAATCCCAAGCAAGTAAGCATCTTTCCAGTACCACTGAACTAGTCTTCAGTCATTGTTATCTTTTGAGAAAGGGTCTCACTAAGTTGTGTGGGCTGGCCTTGAACTTGCAGCTCTCCTGTCTCCACCTCATGAGTATCTGGGAGAGAACTAGGAATTCTGAGAAATCATAAAACTTCTTTTGCTAGGCAGAACAAACCCCAAAAGATAAGCAAAACTAGTCCTCAAGCCCCTTCTCTGCCTTCAAACCTTCCTCTGAGGCCACAGAAAACTGACTAGAACACTTTCTTCCCCTTCCCTGGACCTTTAGGCTGGTAGCTTTGCGTCTCCCTGGGCAAAACTCAACCAGGACTAACACAGAAACCTGGATTGCGAGCTACAGAGAGGGAAGATGGAGGTTTAGGGACAGGGTGGACTTTAAGAAGCACCTGGCAAAGAATACAATTCAGGGCCAGGGATTTAGCTCACTGATGCTCCTGCCTGCCTCACAAGTCCAAAGTCCTGAGTTTGATCCCTGGTACTAAAAAAAAGAATACAATTCAGTAACTCCCATAAAACTGACCTACAGTGTCTTTACCTGAGAGTCAACCCTTAACACATTTGGTTTGTTTGCTTGTTTGTTTGAGACTGAGTCTTGGTATGTTGCCTGAAATTCCTGGGAGCAAGCAGTCCCCGGACTTATCCTCCAGGAGTAAAACTTTTGTTAAAACCTCTTGGGCTGGGGATTTAGCTCAGTGGTGCTGCCACCTGCCTCACAAGCGCAAGGTCCCCAGTTCGATCCCCGGTAACAACAACAACAAAAAACAAACCTCTGGCTAGACACAGTGATGTATGCCTGTGACCCCAACACTCTGGGCAACTGAAGCAATCTTGAGCTCAGCCCAGACAACTTAGCAACTAAGCAAGACCTTGTCTCAAAATCAAAAAATTGTATGTGAGGGCAATCTGGCTGCAACATCTGTCACCCCATTGATCTTCAGCGTTGATTCGGTTGGTCTGGCTGGCTGGGCAGGTGTCCCCTTCCTCCTTCACCCCTCCATGTACGTTCTCCTGAAATTGTGTACTAGGTCGAAGAGGACGACCACCCTAGAGAGAAGAGGACCCTTTCCTCAGTCAAGGGTATACGAGTAGCTGCGCTCCCCTGCTAGAACCTTCAAACAAGCTCTCTCAAAATCAAAAAATTAAAATAGTTTGGGGATATAGCTCAATGCAAAGGCCCCCTCCCCACCCCCTGCCAGGCTTTCCAGCAATGCCAGCAGTCTAAGGGGGAATTTCATCTCTAACCTTTGTCCCCAAGTCTGGCGGCTCACATGGGTAATAACTATCTTCCCACTTTGGCCCAGGGACATCTCTTTTCCCAAACAAACCAATCTCTCACATCCCCCACTCTGTATTTTCACTGACTGTGCATGAGCAGATCCTGCCAAGTTCCACCTGTAGTTGGCTCTATTTTTCAAGTCAGATGTTTGGCTCCTCTATCTCCTGCAAAAAGGAGTCATGCAACCAGGACAAGACTCTTCCCAGAGTCCCTGATGGCCAGGACAGAGTTGAGACTACACTGTTGAGACCGAGTCCTGGATTTGTATCATTCAAGGAGGGTTCAAATGATGACTTCCTCATTACTCCGGACCTTTTTATTCCTGACTCTGGCCATAGTGGCCACTCTCAGGGCTGGCAGTCAGTGTCCAGCATGTGAGAGACCTGCCATAGACCTGGAGAGCCACCGGCAGCTGCTTCTCGATATGGCCAAGAGAAGCATACTAGACAAGCTGCACCTCAGCCGGCCCCCAACACTGAGCCGGCCTGTATCCAGAGCTGCTCTGAGGACTGCACTACAGCGCCTCCATGGGCCTCCACAGGGGACACTCCAGGAAGACTACAGGAGACAAGAATATGAGATCATCAGCTTTGCTGAGACAGGTGGGTTCCTGGTCTGCAGCTCTGCCTTAAAACCTGACCTTTCAAGAAAAGGAAGTTTCCTCCCCAACCTCACCCATGACTTCCTCCCCTAAACTATCCAACTTCTGCTCCCCGAAATCCTACTCCCAGGCTTCCACCTGCCAGGCTCTTGTCTGGCAACTCAAGCTAACCAATGGGCAGCTCCAAATTGGTAGATTTCACTTATTTGGAGACTGGCTGGCTCTGTCTCCTCTGGCTTCTCTCTCTGCAGGCTCCACAAACTTCCTAAAGCTGCATGTGAGCCGGTCCATTTCCTGGCCCTGGACCCAGGGGTAGGTGCTGAGGAGTCTGCTTTCTCTGGCCCCTGGATCTATCCCCTCCATTCTCCCTTCCCCCAGAAGCCTCATTTGGGTGAAAAGAGAAAAGTAAAACAATAGAACTAGGATACCTCTTCATATCTCAGGTTACTATATCAGAACTGGATCAAAATGAGACTCAGAAAGATGAATTAAGGATAGAGGATAGAAGGGAAGAGTTATGTCCATACAGGAGAGAGTCTGTAAATAATTTAATGGGCAAAAAATAAAATAAAATAAAATAATAATAATAATAATAATTTAATGGGCATCTGGAGAGGTGATCAGGAATTTTGAGACAGAACCATAGGAACCAAAAGCAAACTGAGCCTTTTACAACTCTTACTCAGGTCTGGAAGATCCTTCCATTTCTAGCCCCTTTCTCCTAGTTAGCAACTACTTTTCCCCTTCAAGACCCAACACAAACTCTGGAGCCAAAAACTCTGGCTTCACATTTTTGCTCAACCACTTACTAGCTATGAGACTTGGGTTGTTAAAAGTCAGGCTTTTTACTTGTAAATGGGGCTAAAGAGAGTGTACCTAAGAGAATTACATGAACTAATGCAGATCAAGTCCTTAGAATGCTAAAACAGGAGGGAGCAGGAAACAGAGAAGACTTGGCTCCTGCCCATGAGGGGATTATGGTCAGAGCCTCTTGGTAACCTCACATGGGTCAAAGGAACAAGGCAGCTAGCTCTCTGAGATCTCTTTTATAAGGACACTGATCCCCTTCATAAAAGCTACACCAAAAGAAAAAAAAAAAAAAACTGGCCGGGGATTTAGCTCAGTGGCACTGCACCTGCCTCCTAAGGGCAAGGTCCTGAGTTCCATCCCCAGCACCAGAAAAAAAAAAGCTGCACCCTTATGATTTAATTATCTCTGAAAGGTCCCACCTCCTAATAACATCACCTTGGGGCTAGGATTTCAACATCAAATATAAAGTTAATAATACCCTTTTTCCATGAACCTTCTGACCATTCAGTAGCTTAGCCCAAAATTCTTTAAACTATGGTAGGAGATAACTGGGTGTGATGGTGCATGCCAAAAATCCCACCATGCAGGAGGCTGAAGCAGGACAATCACTGCAAGTTTGAGGCCAGCCTAGGCTACATAGTGAGTTCAAGGCCACAGAGTGAGTTTCTATCTCAAAATGGATAGAGATGAAATAAATAAGTAAATAAAATAAAATATTGTGGCTAGAAAGCCAGGCATGGTACCACACTCCTATAATCCCAGCCACTTTGGAGGCTGAGGCAGAAGGATCACAAGTTTAAGGTCAGCCTTGGCAATTTAGTGAGACTTTCAAAATTTAAAATTTAAAATAGCTGAAATGTGCCTCAGTAGTAGAGTGCTTCTTAGCATATGCAAGGCCCTGGGTTCAATCATCAGAACAGTACTCCAAAACAAAACAAAAGGAGTGAAACTTTATGTATTGATTATTGGGGGCTCCCAATATACCATCTACTATAGTCTGCCCACTGGGCCCTGAAAGTCTCAGTCTGTTCCACACACAAAATATAACACACACACACACACACACACACACACACACGCGTGCGTGTGCGTGCCATTTTTTATCCCATCAGGCATGATGTCCAGGGTCTCATCATCTGAATCAGGTGCACATAGATGAAGCTCCTCTGGTACAGGCCATCGGGCTGGGAAATTTCATCAGGTTTGGGGACCTTGTAAAGCCAGTGGTGTCATGTTGCCTCATGAGCGCTGATTACAACTCTGTTCAGTGATGTCATATTAGTAGTTTGGACATCGTGAGAGAACTTATACCACAGAAATTGGAAAACACTACAAATCAGAGCTTAAATTTTTTTCCCTGGAGACCAGTTGTTAAACATTTATTAACACACTGTTGCCTATGTCCTAAAAATACAAGTTGTCTTCCTCCCATACACCTAACACACAATACTGAAGCAAGGACAGGATAACCATAATAGATGCTTCAGTTCAAAATGGGATATGGGGAGTGGGGCACAGCAGTCACTGATCCATAAACATTCAGCCAGGCATAGACACAGTAGGATCCAAATATACAGTAAATGTTTAAATTTTTAAAATTACAGCTGGGGATTTAGCTCAGTGGTGCTGACGCCTGCCTCAAAAGCGCAAGGTCCTGAGTTTGATCCCCGGCACCAAAAAAAAACAAAAACAAAAACAAAAAACACAACATCAACAAAAAACAAAGACCTGGGTTTGTAAAAATTACAGTATTATAGTAAAAGATAAGTTGCCATTAATCCCCCTTAAAATACTTACCCTCTCTTAGAACACACTTATGCCATTGATCTTGCCACCTTCTGAAGCAGTTCTGGAAGTCCTCTTTCATGAGTGTCTTTACAAGGTGTGCTCAATAATACAATGAATGCTGCTGCTGTGTGCCAGCAGTAGAAAAAGCAGACTCATAAAAACATTACATATGAAGGTCCCAAGTTCAAGTTCAATCCCCGGTACCAAAAACAAAAACAAAAAACATTACATAGGGCCGGAGATTTAGCTCAGTGGTTTCTCCACCTGCTGCGCAAGCACAAGGACCCAGGTTTGATCCCCGGTACCAAAAAAAAACACATTACATATGTCCTCATCAACCTTATTCACCAGATCTGGCACTACACACCTTCTCACTCTTCCCCAAATTTAAAATGACCATGAAAGGCAAACATTTTGAATCACTTCAGAACATTGAGGCAGCCACAACAGCACAACTGAAGACACAAAAGACTCCCAAACTGCTTCAGAAAGTGGCAAGAAAAATGAGATAAGTGTGTTTGAAGTGAGGGAGAGTATCATGAGGGAGATTAATGGCAATATGTCCTTTACTACAACAAATTTTTTTTTAATTTAAACATTCACTGTAGTTTTCAATCATACCTGGTATCTCAGTCCACCCCAGATCCAGAATTTCTTAGTTAGAACCTGATTCTGCTTGGCTTTTCTTTCTTTCTTTCTTTTTTTTTTTTGTTTGGTGGGGTTTTTTTTTTGGTACCAGGGATTGAACTCAGGACCTTAGCTTTCAAGGCAGGTGGTGGAACCACTGAGCTAAATCCCTGGCCCAAAAGTTTTGGGCTTTTTTTTTTTTTGGTACTGGGGATTGAACTCAGGACCTTGTCCTTGAAAGGCAGGTGGCAGAACCACTGAGCTAAATCCCCAGCCCCTTGCTTTCTTTCTTTCTCCCTAGTACTGGGAGTTGAAACCAGGGCCTCACAAATGCTAGGCAAGTAAGGGGCTGGGGATTTAGCTCAGTAGTTTCGCTGCCTACTGGGTAAGCACAAGGACCCAAGTTTGATCCCCGGTACCAAAACCAAAACAAAACAAGTGCTGGGCAAGTAAGTGCTCTACCACTGAGCTATATCTCTAGCCTTTTTCATTTTATTATGTTTCTTATTTTATTTATTTATTTATTTATTTATTTTTGAGACAGGATCTTACTAAATTGCCCAGGCTGGTCATGAACTTGAAATCTTTCTGCCTCAGCCTCCTTCGTAGCTGTGATTATAGAGATAGTCCATTCACCCAGACTGATTCTGCTCTGTGGAAGGAACTTCCTATTACTCATTACTGCTCTTCTGGGCTCCTAGAGCTACACTGATAACCCTTGGCTATGTACCTTCTAACATATCTCTCCTATTAAAAAGGAAATGACCTGTGTTTGTGGCTGAATGGTTTTCTCAGCTGAGTTTCTGCCTAAAGGAGATAGGGGCTCAGAGAGCTCTTTTTACTTTTAATTATCTCTATCTTTTTTAGTCCAAACTGGTGCAGCTTTCACTATTAAACTCTCTTTAGCTGGATGTGGTGCCATAGGCCTGTAATCGCAGCTACTCTAGAGGCTGAGACAGGAGGACCGCAAATTCAAGGCCAGCCTAGGCAATTTAAGGAGATCTTGACTCAAAAAAAATTTCTTTTGAAATAGGGTCTTGCTATGTAGTTGAGGTAGTCCTTGAACTCACTATGTAGCCCAGGGTGGCCTCAAACTTGTGATCCTCCTGCCTCAGCCTCTAGAGTAGCTGTGATTACAGGCCTATGGATTATAGGCATATCCCGTCACTTCAGGGTCTTGACTCAAAATTTTAAAAAAGTAAGAAAGGCCAAACCTAGCAGTGCAAGCCTACAATCCTAGCCATTGGGAGGCTAAGGCAGAAGGATCATCATGAACTCAAGACCAGCCTGGGCTACATAATGATTTCAAGGCCAGCCCAGACTACATAGCAAGACCCTATCTCAAAATACAAACAAACCAACCAACAATAACAACAAAAACAAAAACAAAACAAAAGGGCTGAGGTTGTGGCCCAGCATTTCCTCTGTTTAATCCTTAGTATTGAGAAAAAAATTCTCTTTAAAATTCTGAGGGCTAGGGTCAGGGATTTAGCTCAGTGGTTCCGCCGCCTGCCCTGCAAGCTCAAGGACCTGAGTTCGATCCCAGGTACCAAAACAAACAAACAAACAAAATTCTGTGGGCTCTCTAATAAGTTGTGGTCTACTCAATTAGACAACACTCTACTCTATGAAGAGAAATCTTTCACTTAGGTTACAAGTTAGTGTCATGGTCATGGAAAACCCTAAAGATTCTCAGAAGCCCTTTTGTCTAGTTGAGTCTATGGAACATCATCCTGGAAAAAAAAGAAAAAAGAACATCATCCTGAAATTTTTAGA